CACAAACTAGTTTATCCAAACAGACACAACACTGACTCTACATATTTGCAGATCTGATTTGTATACTTGTCATTTTACCTTGTACTTGTTTGGTGCTATCTGGTTTCCTTGCTGAGAATAATGCTGACCTGGATGGAGAGTGCTATAAACTTGAAAATGCCATAGAAATCATGTTTGCCAATTTATGTCCATGCAACTTTAGAATGACAACTAGCGAAGGCTATGTCATTCATGACTTGTTATAATATGTAATAGTAATAGTGAGAAAATTTACGTGTTTCCAAACGATCCAAAGGTGTGACATCAGGGGAGGAAAGCTGTAAAATCAATGAGAAAACATTGGGATGGACAATCCCCTTACACTGTCATATGCAGTGCCCATTTTATTGAAGATTAATAACAGGGTTTTCATAGTCACTTTAACAATTAGCCAATTTGAGCTTTTTTAGTATTATCTCGAGAACTTTTCAACATATTTCAATGAAAAGTGCCCTGGGACAAAACACAGGCCTCATTATTTTCAGTTAAAATCTATGCAAATAAATTATCTAATTTGCATAATTATCCATTTCTAACAGTTCTGCTATGAGGAAGTTATTTATGATGTATGGAATAATTTTTCTAATAAGAATAAATTCTTTCAACACTGACAAGTTTATTATTTCCATGTCTTCAATTCCTCAGCACACAGGAGTTTTTCTAAGTTTTCATTGATCTTTAAGTACCGTATAAGGAATGGGTTTATATTGCAAAATTACATTTTTCATCAGCATTTTATTTTTTTCATAACATCAGAAACTATTTATTTTTTTCATCAAAGACTCTAGTGTTTATGGGTTTTTTAATATAGTGAAAATTCTACACATATAATCACTTAAACTTGTGTACAATGTAAAATGTAGTGGACAAAGTGTGTGATTGTAATATAATGCTACCGGTCAGTAAAAAAGATTGATTCAGCAATTGTTGCCACTTACTTACATGTGCATACCTTAATAGAATAATTATTATATTGTAAATTTCATAGACACACTAAGGAATATTTATCATCAACAACAGGGTAACTGAACAACATTTCTCCAGAAAATGGGGTGCATGTGTTTTGAATTGTTTAGCTTAATTATCGATCAGAGAGGTAAAAGAGATACATGTACATATAGAAGCATTTGTTGACAGGAGGTACATGTTATGATAGGAGTTCTTCATATTACTGACAGTCCATGGGTTATATTACATTGTCAACTATTTCTCTATTAGATTTCATCTGATTTTCTATTTTTTAGCCTATATTTTTGATATACCGGTAATAATACTTCTTGTTGTTTAATATTATTTTCAACCTCAATATTTTGATTGATTCATTGACTCAATCTCAGTTTTTAGCTCCGCTGTCGACTTTGTCGTGTTGTTGTACTTCATGTATATGTACCTTGGGTAGACCTCTCTCAGATTTGTTTATTTCGTGATGATATCTTCAATTGTCTAATTTTGGTGAATATTTTTGTCATTTTTAGTAAAAGGTGATATTTTCGACTTCTTGTTAAAAACCAAAAGTCTAATTGCTCTGATATTACATATATAGGTACTACATGTGGACCTGTCTCAGATTTGTTCTTTTCGTGGTGATATCTTCAATTCTCTAATTTTGTTGAATATTTTTAGCTCTGCTGTCGAATTTGTCGAGTGGAGCTTATCATATGAGTGATTGTCCGTCGTCGTCCGTATCAATGTTTTACTTTTTCGACCTCTACTTGAAAACTACAAGCCTGAATGTTTTGATACTTGGTGTATATGTACCTTGGGTAGACCTTTCTCAGATTTGTTCATTTTGTAATGATATCTTTAATTCTCTAATTTTGGTGAATATTTTTGTAATTTTTGGTAAAAAGTGATATTTTCGACTTTTTGTTAAAAACCGCAAGTGCAATTGCTTTGTTATTACATATATAGGTACATGTACTACATGTGGACCTCTTCCAGATTTGTTAATTGCGTGGTGATATCTTCAATTATCTAATTTTGATGATTATTTTTGTCATTTTTGGTGAAAAGTGATATTTTTGAATTCTTGTTGAAAACAGCAAATCTGATTGCTTTGATACTATACATATTGTTCCTTTTTCTAATGATATCTTCAGTTCTTTATTTGAAATGTGCCTTGCTAACAGTGGAGCTATCTCAGCCGATAGGCTGCTTGTGTTCATTTCATTTCCCTTTTCAGATAATATTTTTGCTCATTTTTGGTTCACCCATAGACCTTAGAAAACTCTAAGGTCTATGGTTCACCTGGTATTTTCCCAATATCTGTATAATGATTGTCTCTAATTCTGATAATTTAAGTAAAAACTTTTACATTTATATTTTTGACCATACACTGTATGATTCTCTCATGCATGTTAATTCCAATAGTCCAAAATGAGGAATTATGATTTTGTGTTTCTGTCCAACCTTGTTTCTTGGACTGGTGGCTTTTTGTCCCAAAACACAATGTTTTATCAACTGTTTCTCAGATGGCCAGGGCTGATTTCATACAAACTTGGTACTGACAACATTTATGGTTGGTTATGGATGTAATGTATTTTTTGGTATAAATTGTTTTTCAGGCATACCCCGGCTGGTTTCATTGAAACTTGATGTGTTACTGATGCATCAGTAGTTTGTTCTTTATCATTTCTTGGACACAGATTTTGTCCAAGTTTTTACAAAGACAAGACATAATGAAATACATAATTATGATTATCCAATTGGTGGTTATTTTGTCTATAGAACACACCAAAACATTTCAACATGTCACAAAATGTTTCTTATGTGTGCCAGGACCAATTTTGTATAAATTTTGCATTGACATCACTTATGGTGAGTTACTGATACATGTACACTTCATTTTTAGCTCCCTTGAAACGGAGCTTATGTGGTACCGGTGTCTGTGACTCTGTAACTAAAATTTGTTCCACTGATAACTCAAGATCTATAATTTCAATTCAAATGAAATTTGGCACACAGCTAATATATGATGAGTAGATGTGCTGATTAGAT